CCGACGTTTTAAAGAAAACTATCCACCTGATTTCTTGAATAAGGTACGTACTATTAAACATCAATTTAGTCATGCAGCTTATATATTTGCATAAGTTGCGTACTTTCGCGATAATTTTATTGCACACTTTTTCCTTCTATGTTCGTACATCTTTTGTAGTCCAAATATGTATTACACTACACTAATATTCTTATCCTTTCAGCCCCTATTTGGTTCAGCTAAAAAAGCAGATTAAAGTCTGAATCGAAGTCAACGATTAATTTTAACCACACTTTTCATACGACTCACAACTTTTCAAATTTCAACAACACGTTCCATCAACTTTTATCTAAACCAAGCAAGAGCTTAATATCTTTCTTCATATATTTGAAACCATATGTAATGTGGCTATAACTCCCATATCGAGTGTAAATAACTCTGCGTATATACTTTGCGCATTTCATTTTGTTTATTATTGCTCTCGAGAATTAGCGACTAAAATTTAATCCGCAATGTATTGTGCTTAGGTAACTGCAGAGATAATTGCAACCTATCTACTGGTGTTTGTGACATGTGGTTCGGCTGCTCTTAGTGCTAGCGATGAACACAAAGTCTCTAAACTTGGAGCATCTGTAGCAGGTGGCCTAATAGTCACAGTTATGATCTATGCAGTTGGACACATCTCTGGTGCACATATGAACCCAGCTGTAACCCTGGCTTTTGCAGCGGTTAGTCATTTCCCTTGGAAACAGGTTCGTGTTCTCTCGATAACTCTCCGATGCTATAACAAAACCTCTTGCTAGGTCAACGGGTCAGTTCTAAGGCTCCGTTTCTTTCGGATTAAAATAAGATTTTAAAATTGAAGTTGGGTAACTTGATTGGACCAAATTAAAGATGAGTGACAAGATATGTAAACAAATTAAAATTGGGTGATTTGTTTGCATCAAATTGAAGATAAGTAACCTAGATGCACCTCTGCTATAAGTTTGGTGATCCTTAATGCATTTAACCCATTTTACAACTCAACGGATAGGTCCTACACGATTCTAGTAAGACTCAATCTCTGAACAGCTAAATGAGGGGGCTTATTCTTCTTGGAAGACCATCTCTTGAAGACCAATGTTTAGATTGAAGAGTGAAGCTACACTTGAGTAATGTGCAATAGTGCATAAGTTTCTCTCCTCTCCAAACTCTTGAC